GCCACCGCCACTTCCGGAGCCTTGTGAGCGGGCACTGCCGCCTCGGGGGAACTGAGAGCGGGCACCGCCGCCTCGGGGGAACTGAGAGCGGACACCGCCACCTCGGGGGAACTGAGAGCAGACACCACCGCCTCTGAAGCCTCGTGAGCGGGCACCGACGCCTCGGCAGGCTTGTGAGCGGGCACCGCCGCCTCGGGAGGATCGTGAGCGGGGACCGCCGCCTCGGGGGAACTGCGAGCGGACACCGCCACTTCCGGAGCTTTGTGAGCGGACACCGCTGCCCCGGGGAAACTTTCTGGCTTGCATCAGTCCATGTACCAATAATTAATAATCTGCCCAGAGAGGCATGGGGAAGGCTTATAAATAGCCCTCAGGATGGGCAACAGCTGTGTGTGTGTGAGTGTATACACAGGTGTGTGGAGTCAAGGTAACGGAGTCCGGGAGGATGGGAAGTGGCGACCTCTGGTAGTGAGAGGGAGAAGACCAGACCCCTGACAATCTATCTATCTATCTATCTATCTATCTATCGGTATCAGTCTCTTTTTTGACTCTTCATGTGTCCACTCTTATCATCTGCAGTCAACTTTCACTCTGAACAGCGATTAGCACTCAAGCTTTATCAGGCCGGAAAGAGCTCTGACGTCACGAATGAGCTTCCAGACAGAGTCCATTTACTGACAGCTACCTTTATAACATACACGTATCTCTTACAGAAGGACAGACACGTCTACAGATCTGTTTAAAAACAGACAGATGTTCAGATGGACAGACAGTTGACATAAGATTCAAACAGCAGGCCTGAGAGAATGAGGAGAGACCGTAAGTGATGAACTACACAGATCAGTGTCCATTTCTCAAGGATAGTCTCTTTCCTGTTGAGGTCTTACTGCACTACAGATACTTCAGTACCGAATCGAGATCTACGGTGCTCTGAAATACGGTGAAATACGAGATCTCAGCAGGCAACAAAGCAAGTGACCAATACCAGATCTGCCTAAGATCCAGACCAAGTCAAGTCAAAGCACAGAACACAAAAAAACCTACACTAAACTACATTTATTTCTTATGTATTTTCTATATTTATAGGTTTCAAATAAATAAATAAACAAACAAACAAACACTTGCAACTTATTGTAAATAGTAAACAATAGGTTTTTTTTTATAATAGACTAAAAAGAACATTTAAAATGTTTGTAAAATGTATTCAATGTTTCCAGTAAATGAATGAATGAATCATTGAACAAATAAATAAATATTTAAAATATATTAAATATATTATATATATTATATATTTAAAATATGTTCAATATTTGAATTATTTAAATCATAAAAGTTAACAATTCTTAAATATTAAAGACTTTAGAAACAATATAAAATTTTCAATCTTTATGAATAAATTAATTAATTAATTAATTAACATCAATAATATCATATAATATATCATATTTTTTTCTCTTTTGACTATATATATATATATATATATATAAGAAGATTCACAGAAAATTCACAGACCTTAGAAAAATGAACTTTTCTCCAACAACCAGCCCAGAAAATGTGAAAGAAGTGGCGAGATTCTGTATGTTCTCCTCATAACATGACAAATGTCAACATGGATGTGTGTTGACAATAAGATTCATAAGAATTATATAAGACAAAGCAGGAGTTAATAATGGGCTGCAGCATGTGACTGTATGCCGGCGCTTAATGACACACAGCAGATGACACACACTGACCAACACACACAGGACAAGAAAACGACAAGAAAGGTGTCAGGAATAAAAAAGAAGCCTGCGCAAAACTTCCTCAGGAATATAACTGGCGGATGAGAGGAGCAAAACTAAACAGTGAGAGTGAGAAACACACACAAGTGTTATGAAGACAGAGAGGTCACATGACTGTCAGATGAAGGTCGTCTGCGTAACGGTTGTGTCTCCAGTGGCGCATTGGCAGGTAATTGTCTTTTCCTCCCCGTTTCCTCTGCCAATTCACACACACACACAGCATACACTATTGATCACGCCGCGTGTCAGCAAATGTAAGAACCACAGATAAATCCTCCCATTGCTGTTTACCCACAAACCCCTGCTCCAGAGCCAGATCTTGGACACCCACAGGAAGAAACATCACAAATGAGATCTCAACAACACCTTGATCAAACAGAACAAGTGAAGACTCCTGTCTGTTTCTCAGATGACTCTTCTCAGAGGGACCGCAGCGCTAGAGTTTCAGAAGCGATCTCAGTAATGTCTCAAACTGTGCTCAGATTAGACAAGATAATGAAATCTGGAATCAAAAGCCTGAAAAAAAACTGAAATATTTCTCATCAAATGATCTGAGCTGCTCCACATTCATTTTACAGCTCTAGATTCTTACTGGATGATGACTAGTTACTCATTTGTTTCTATTTCTTCTTATTTTTATTCATAAAAAATATTATTTCTATATTATATAAAATATAAGTTTTTTTTTAATTAAATCAAATCAAAAAGTTTTATTTTATTCATATCTGAGCAACATCTGTGACAAAGTTGATTTGTTTTTGCTTTCTCGTTTGAATATATGTAATATCAAATATAAAACAAAAACAAAATACAATTTTAAAAAGTTTTATTAAAAAGCAACATCTAAGAAAACGCTGATATTTAAATTAAATATAACTGAGAACCATTAAATGTTATGAGCAATGAACAAACAAAATGTTAATACATTTTTTTTTCTTTATTTTATGACGTAAAATAAAACAAAGTAAAATGTTTTATTTGATTTATTATTTAACACCTGAGCCGAGCAACATCTAATATGAAGGTGACACTTACTATAAATAAGATTAAAACATTAAAATTTCAGAGCAATGAATAATCACATTTTAAACAACATTCTCGTTTAATTTCTTTTTTCTATTTCATTTTTTATTTCTCGTTTTAATATTTGTATCTTTATTTTAGGTACGTTTTTATAAATAAAATAAAATATACAAATAACACAAAATAAAATGAATAAAAATAAAAATGACAGGTTTGTTTTATTTTACTAACACCTAAGCAACATCTGAAAAGAGTTGATACTTAGGCCTATTGTAAATGAAATAACTGAAATACAATCTGAAATAATGTTTTTAATAAAATTCAAATTGTAATGCTTTATTTTATTTCATATATAAAATAATACCAAATATATATTTATATAAAAATTATAAATAAATAAATAACGTGTTACATTTTTAAATGTAAACACTTTTTTAAACGTTTAAATTAACCCCTGAGCAACAGCTGAGACTTGCAAGTTGATCCATACTGTAAATGCAATCTAGCTGAGAACCATTCAATCATCTGAGCAACGGCTGAGCAAACTCTGAGCACTCAAATGCTCCTCTGAGAGGCCTGTTGTCAGACAGAGGTGAACTGGATTAAAGTGAGCTGTAGATGAAGACGTCAGTCAGCGTACGGGTTTGTTAGTTCAGGGCTTTGACTGGTTTGTGCAGGAATGAGATTAAGTGCAGTCAATGACTAAACGCTGCTGAAATCACAGCAAACCATCAGAGGACGAGGATCAGCGCCAGATTAACACACACCTGCTCGCTGAGGGACAGATGAACCGCCGACTCAAAAACACACACAAAGAGACGCTGCCAAATGACTAATTAGCAAACAATGGACGGATGAGAGCCACTTCTCCAGCAGCACTGCAGATACCTGCCTTATTTCTATTAGCGCCCAATCATATTTCCCCAAAGCTCTTCAGAGATCAGAGAGGTCTGACATTCACAAAATCATATTCAGACACAATGTTTTCATCATCGCTTGCTCAATATAATCAGGATCTGTAACTGAACTAAAGTAAGCTGTCAATCAAATGCACTGATTCTATGATTTATCAGCAAATAAAAAAAAAACATTTATATATTAATCAAACAATCAATCAATCAAATCGCCAACAAACCAGTCATAAACCAATTAATGGAATAATAAATAGTATTACAATCTTAATAAAATCACTATCAACATTAATTGTTACTGTATTCATACTAATATTGCTAATTTAATAAAAATAATATAAATACAAAAATAAAGAATTAATCAATATTAATACTGAGATCATTAACACCGACGATAAATTATTAAGATTGCTACTAAATATTAATACATATAATATTAAATAAAGAATAAAATAATCCGTTCATTCATTTAAAAGAAAAATATTTTGCAATTACTATCCATAAAAGCAAGATTTATATAAAATAATGAAAAAATATATAAAAATTCTGATTATATTACAATCAAAATTATTATATTATATTACAACACAAATGCTTTTAATCAATCAACCATAAAAACAAATAAACAATAAATGAATGATCAGTTGAATACATGAATATTAATATGAACTGTTACTGTAAAAATAGCGGTAATACTAATACTGCTAATAATATTGATGACATGTTAAAACATTATTATAAACTAATATTAATACCAATATTAATCATGTTACTACTGATATTAATTATTGTATTAATGCTAATATTGCTATTACTATCAATTAAATATTCAAATAATAAATAAGATGTTAATTTAAAAAATGGTTACATTTCATATTTTATTATTATATATTAATATTACTGCATCAATACTAATATTATTAATAATATTTATATTAATATTAACAAAAAAACATTTT